TAGACTGACATTGTTGGTTCTCAGTACTCTGGAGAAGTCCCTGACAGTAGATTTTCCCAGTGCAATTTGTCTTGATTTCCTGACTGCTGTTTGGTGGAGCTCCCCGATTAAAACAAGCTCAGAAGCAGGAATGGCAATAGCTTGCCTCTGGAAACTCTATGAACTTGGAGAAATGATGAAAGTTAAACAAATGTTCAGGCCTTTCGTTCATAGGGTCACTATGAGTCCTCTATGACTCGATAGCACTTAACAACAATAGTGCCAAGGGTGTTGATTGTGGAGCCAAGCAAGCTGTTAACAACCTCAAACTCTTCTCCATCCATCATGGTGCTGCCAGTGGGCCCAAAGGTGAAAATTTTCTGTCTTCTTGATGTTGAGCTTCCATCCATACTGAAGACCTACAGTCCTTCACCTTCTGCAGCAAGCACTTCAGGTCCTGCTCATTTTCAGTAAGCAAGGTTGTATCATCTGCATAACGTAGGTTGTTTATAAGTGTTCTCTAATCCTGATGCCATATTCCTCCTCATAAAGCCCAGCTTCCCATATGATCTGATCTGCATGTAGATTGAAAATGTACAGGTACAGGATAGTAATCCTATGAACAACAAATCAGAACGCTATCCTATTCTATGCAAAGTTGAGCCTAAAGCCAAAGTCACTGTATCAATCCATCTGGTTGAGGGTCTTCCTTTCTTTTGCTGACCCTTTACCTTTCCAAGCATGATTTCCCTTTCCAAGGAATAGCCTCTCCTAAAAACATGCCCAAAGTATGTGAGAAGTTTCACCATTCTTGTCTCCTAGCACTTTCTGGTTGCACTTTCTCCAAGACATATTTGTCCTTTAAATGTTCATGAGATATTCAACACTCTTCTCCAGCATTACAACTCAAAGACATCGATTGTTCTGTAAACCTTATTCATTGTTTAGCTCTAATATCTATTAAAACTACATGCATTTATTTACATTGAGAGAGCACCTAAGCACTTAGTATTCACAGATTTTTATGGAATAATAATCATGCTTAAATGCATCAACATGAATGTTTATAATATGATTTCAACTAGTTCAATTGGGAGAAGTAAAATACTAGGTAAGGGCTGTCTTTGGAAAAGCAATGTTCAGTGTTCCAAATAGATAAATGCTTGGCTAGTTACTAAATGGTTGGCAATTCAAACCCACTCAGAGGTACCTCAGAAGAAAGGCCTGGCAATCTGCTTCTGAAATTTCACATCCTGTAAAAGTCCACGAGATACAAATCTAACCTAATATGCATGGGGCTTTCTTGAGTTTAAATTGACTTGGTGGTATTATTGGAGGTAGTTAATGAAATTTCCATAAGCCAGTAACAGAGATGTTAAACAGGACTCTCTGTGATGATGGAGATGTCGCAAACTTACTGCGACTGAAAACTGAAATGTGGCTGGGCAGCTCAGGGGACAGAATTTTAATGAAATTAGAATTTTTAGTTAAATTTGGATTTAGGTGGCCATTGTTTGGGGCATCTTTGGCAATAGTATGGCTGTAAAACCTCAAAATTATTTCTTTCTCTTTTCCCCTCCCCCCTCTCTTTTACTTTGGTGTGTTTGCCTTTTCTTATGCCTTCTCTTTTTCAACTGTAAAATGTCCTATAAAATAAGAGGGAAAAGAAGACACTGGAGAGGAAATGTTGTGAGGAGTTTTTAAAAATACTTCAACTTCAGAAGAAACATATTTTGTGCATTGGTTTAGGGATAGTAGGAGAGACCTTGAACCAGTTGCTTTGAGAAGTGATCCTTCCTTCATTTGTCCTGATTTTCTTGGTGCTCCAGAGCCTTGAAGGAGTCCTGGTGGCACAGTGGTTAAGTACTCAGCTGCTAAATAGGAAATCTGGTAGGAACCTGCCACCCATTCTGTGGGAGAAAAGACTTTGGCAATCTGCTTCCTCAAAGTTTAAACTTAGAAAACCCTATGAGGCAGTTCTACTCTGTCCTGTAGTAGAGCTAAGTACATTCAACAGCACACAGCAATAATAACTAGAATCTTACAGGGAGTTCTGGTGGCCTACTGGCAAGAAGCTGCACTGCAATCCTGAAGGCATGCTGTTCGAATCCACCAGATGCTGTGCTGGAAAGGGAGGGTTAATCTCCTCTTGTGCCTGTCAGATCTGATTCAGTGGGACACAACAGTAACAAACAAAACCAAAACCAAACAAATTAGAATCTTGAGGGCTGGGGATGTAGAAATGAAGACTAAATTACTTTCTTCCAGTTTTGTCCAACTGCTGGCCCTCTAGGAGGTTTTCAGAGGCTATACATTGCATGGGAGGAGATTGCCCATCTTTCTCCCTCAGAGCAACTGTGTCTGCCTGCCTTCTGGTTGACAGCTCATTCCCTGACTCACTTGGCTATATGACCTTGATTTGTGGAAGCTCCATGCACAGAAAGGAAGCACAGCCTCGTCTTGGTCCAGCCACATGACTGGTTATAGATAAAATCATTGTGATCCATACATTTTACTTTGGCTTATTTTTGGAAGCAGACCAACAGGCCTTTCTTCCTAATTTGCTTTAAAGGGAATACTGCACTGAAGCCTGTTTAGCATCATAGCAACATCCAAACCTCACTGACAAATGGGTGATGTCTGTTCTTGAGCTGCATTGGCTGGGAAGTCTCTCCTGTGAGGGTGAGAATTCTATCACGGAACTACACTGTCCCAGAGTCAAGTAATAGGTGTTGCATAAATGTTTCTTGACTGAATAGAAAATATATGCCCATGTTGATCACAATTTCAACTGCAGAAATTTGGAGCCTAGCCTTATCTGCCCATCAGGAATAGAGATGTTAATCAACTAATACTTGAAAACTATTTTGTTACTAAGTAATTATTTATTAGCGGTAATTAGTATTGTAATGGAAGAGACTGTAGAGTATCAAATAATTAAACAAATTGATAAGAAGTTGGCATACTACACCTTACCGTTATGTGACAGATAGTTTTAATATTATCTGAAAGCAGAACCAGTGATTGCATATCAGAGACAGTAACAAACATCACTAAAGTGTTTTTCTCTCCTCTCAATTTATAGGCAATATTGATAAACCAGGCACATCATTGCCCACTTGGGCGATCATTCTCCTTGCAGTGTCATTTTCATTGCTTTTGATCCTGATAATTGTTCTGATTATAATATTCTGCTGCTGTTGTGTCTCCAGGAGAGAGGAAAAAGGTAATATTTTTGTTCATATAGATTTCTATATAACTTTGGAAATTTGCTATAAGAAGTTGACGTGCATCAGCTCTTTCTAAGATATCTTAGCTTTCTAAGGCCTTAAAAGATATTTAAGAAGAAAGTACTCTGTTAAGGCAAAGAGTCATTTCATCGGTGTTGGATTTTAACTGATTACACTTCCTGGAAACTAGAATGTTTACAATTTTGAGAAAGTGGTAACATGGATATATTTCTAATCAAAGACACTGTTTATTTGAATCTAGGCTTATAGAGAAGGATCCATGGTTATTGTAATCTGTATATGCTAGAGCCTTTCTAATCTTCACCTATCTAAACACACTTAATGGTTTTCTCCTAATCTGTGGAATTCCAAAGCTGTCTTTATAGATGAGTGCTGATACAGTGGTTGAAGGAAAAAGAGTATTATTAACTATAATAGAATAAAAAGGTTGCCTTAATTTAAAATTTCTCCTGAATGAAATTTTCTGAAATACTCCAAGGTATAGGGGGTGAAGGCTTTTTTGGGAGTCAGATCAATGCTGAGTGTATTCAATGTAGAGTTGGGTAGTTTGGTGACTTTGGAAGCTGAAGCATTCTGTATTATGTAGCAAGCCTAGGACCTGCCATGTGCTAATACATGTTTCTATATTTGTATTTTTATCTCATAAAAGTTCATCTATTCTTATTTGTATATTTTGAACAAGTAAATTATTTCTCTTAAAATCAGAATTTTGTTGGTGTACCTTGAGTTTCTGCTATCATCAACACTGTCATCTTGCAATTTGTGAAACACTTTTTTTAATGGTTACAGGCACTGTGCTCTCTTGCACTGGAATTACTGTCTTATGGAGGTATTCCATGTGAAATACTTGATTTAGCCTTAAACAGGCTAATGGTCTACCTTGAATTCCTCCATGAACTTGTTTTGCAACTGGAGAATTGATTTTGTAATATGACTTTATATCTGGGAATCAGGGAATAAAATGTAAATTCCTATTGACCTGATTAGATAGGTACACTCTCCACCTGGGAGTTACCTTCAGCATACAGAACTGTAAACAACTATTGACCATGGTTTGATTTTTCATTCAGATGTCATTATGAATTGTCCAACACCTTCAGATTATCATTTTGAACATTAACAATTGTGGAGTTATTGCAAGATATTATTTGGACTCTCTGCTTCTTTTAGACTATTGTTTATTCTGAAAGAATTCTGTGAGAAGGTTGGTACCTAAATAGGTCATATGTGAAAGTGTTTCCTTTATTCTTAGTTTCCTTACTTACAAAGTGGGAAGAAAAACAAGTCTTAGGCCATGGTCTTTTCAGTTACTTGCTATGCATCTGAGAGCTAGACAATAAACAAGGATGACAAAAGATGGATTGATACCTGTTAGCTGTCATGTTGGAGAAGAGTGCTGGATATCCCCCTGGCTGCCAAGAGAAGGAACAGATACGTCTTGGCAAAGGTGCAACCAGAATATTCCTTGGAGGCAAGGATGATGAAGATTCATCTCTCATACTTTGGACATGTTGTTAAGAGAGACAATTCTTTGGAAAAGGATATCACACTTGGAAAGGTGGAGAGTCAATGAAAGAGAGGAAGATCCCAAGAAGGTGGATTGACATGGTGACTGCAGCAATTGATACTAGTGTATGAAAGATGATGAGGGTGGTACAGAGTAGCACAGGATACAGGTCTGTTCATAGGGTTGCTCTGAGTCATACTCTATGGCATCTAAAAACACTACCACCACAAAAGTTTGGTGCAAATGGTATAAATTAATACATGTGGAATTTTATGTTTTAGCTTTTGCTCTTTAATTCACTTTGCTAGGAAAAAGCCCATATAAAAGTGAGTCATTTTCCTTTTCCTTTTCTGTTGCAAATACCAGTCGCTCTAAGAACATACCTGTGAACACCTATTTAAAATCCTCCACCCTCCTCTATTGCCATCAGGTGCAATTCACTATGAAAATGACTCTTTAACATAAATATTAAGGGCCCAGTAAAAATCAGTTTCAATATTTAAAAATGAATATAAATTAATATTAACTTATGTATGAAATCGAGTCAATATTGTCTATTAATATCCTTGTTGTTATCTGACTTTAATAGTAAGGCACCCTGGTGTCATAGGGTGTAACATATTGGGCTGCTAACCAAAGCAGCAGTGAGTTGAATCCACCATCTGCTCTGCGAGAGAAAGACGGGCAATCACCTTCTGCTAAGATTTACAGCTTTGAAACCTCAATGGAGGATCACTATGAATCAGAACTGACTCAACAGTGGTGGGCTTTAACATTAATATTAAATATTAATGCATTCAGAAAAACTAAAGGCATTCCCTCTGAGAACAGGAGCCATAAAAGGATGCCCACTTGCACGACTTCTATTGAGTATTGTATTGGAAGTACTTGCTAGGGCAATACGACAGAAGAAGGAAATAAGAGACATACAGATCAAGAAAGAAATGGTGCAACTCTCACTATACGCAGATGATATGATAGCATACACAGAAAACTCCAATAAATCAACAAAAACACTACTAGACCTACTATATCAATTCAGTAGAGTGGCAAGATATAAGTTCAAGATACAAAAATCAATGGGAATCCTCTTCAGTAACAAAGGAAACTCAGAGAAGTGAACCAAGAAAACAATACCATTTACAATAGCTGACTCCAGTGTGAAGTACTTGGGAACAAAGACCTTTGTAAATAAAAGTGAAAAACACTACTGCAAGAAACAAGAAGAGACCTAACTAAATGGAAGAAGGTGACTTGTTCATGGATAGGAACACTAATATAGAGAAAATTATAATCCTACCAAAAGTAATCTACCTGTTCAACACAATCCAATACAGATACCAAATTTATTTTTCAAAGAGATAGAAAAGGTAAGTTCATTTGGAAAGGAAAGAGACCCTGAACAAACAAATCATGTCTAAAAAACAAAAGTGAAGTGGGTGGCCTAGCACTCCCTGATCTCAGAACCTATAATAACCAAAACAGCATAGCACCGGTAAATGACAAACACTTAAATCAATGGAATAGAATCGAGAAATTCGAAATAAACTCATGTATATGGGTTAACAACTGGTGTTCACTAAGAAAATAAAACCTATCATGAGGGGGGAAAACAACTTCTTCAACAAATAATGCTGGTGAAATTTGACTTCTACCTGTAGAAAGCTGAAAGAGTATCCATATTTCACACCACGTACAAAAATCAACTCAAGGTGGATTTGAGACCTAGGGGAAGAGCCCCAAACCATAAAGATCTTAAGAGAAAAAATGGGATTAAACTTAGAAGGCATAGTCTATGGTAAAAAGAGACTGGCAAATACAGCCAGAAATACACAGTAAGGGGAGGATAACACTGATGAATGGGACCTGCTAAAAATTAATTCCCTGTGTGCCTTAAAATCCTTTTTCAATAGGTGAAAAGAAAACCAGCTGACTGGAAAAAACATTTTGGAATAACACCTCATTCAAGAGACTCATTAACAAAAATTTATAGACTACTATAGGAACAACAAGAAAATGTCTGACAACCCAATTACAAAATGGGCAAAAGATATGGATAGATCTTTCGAAGAGGAAGACATTCAGATGGCCAATAGACAAATGAAGAAATGCTCAAAATCAATGAAAATAAGAGAGACGAAAATAAAAACTACAATGAGTTACTGTCACACTTTAAATAGCAGTAGCAAAGTTTAACAGGACAGCAGTAATAAATGTCAGAGATAGTGTGGAGAGATTGGAACTCTAATACAGTGTTGGTGGAATTATAAAATGGTACAATCGTTCTAGAAAGCAACACGCAGGAGCATGTTCCCAAGGAATCACCTCTCTTATCAGCATGCCTAAAGTATGTGAGATAAACCTTCATCATCTTTGCCTCCAAAAAGCACTCTGGCTACACCCTCTCCAAGACATAGCTGTTGTTCTTTTGGCAGTCCATGGGATATTCAATACTGTTCTCCATCACCACAGTTTAAATGCATCAATTTTTTTTCTGTAATCCTTATTCACTGCCCAGCTCTCAGATGCATAACAAATAACTGAAAGGGCTGTGGTGTGAGTCAGATACACCTTAGTCCTCAAATGGACAGTAGTGATTCTCAGTAATTTGGAGAGGAACTCTAGTAGCCTAGTGGTAAGGAGCAGTGCTGGAATCCCAAAAGCACACAAGTTTAAATCCATCAGCTGTTCTGTGGGGAAAAAGATGAACAGTCTCCACCCATGCCATTAAACTGTCTCTGGAAAGATGCTGAAGGGTTAGCTATGAGTCAGTTTCAATGCAGTGATACACAGAAATAAAGAAATATTGATGATGTTGTTATGTGTCATCAAGTCAATTGTGACTCATAGTGACCCTATGTACAACAGCTCCAAATCCTCCTCTATCTTGAGCCAATTTCATTGTCTGTGACACAGTTTCCCTCATGACCCAGTCATTGAGTCAATTAATCTCATCCTGGGTCTTTTCTTCTTGTGCTGTCCCTCCATCCTTCCAAACATGATGTCCCTCACCAAGGAATGGTCCCTCCTTGCAACATGTGCAAAGTATGCCAGACTGATCTTCAAAATCCTTTTCTCCCAGTATCAACTTGGTTTCATCGTCTCGAGGATGAACCTGTTTTTTTCTCTTTACATTCTATGGTATATTTGGTATTCTTCTACAGCATCATAATTCAAAGGCATGAATTCTTCTTCTATATCATCCTTAGCCATTGTCCAGCTTTCTGATGCGTAACAAGTAATTGTGATGGCCATGGACTGGATCAGGTGCACCTTGTCTCTAGACAGACATCATTGCTCTTCAGTACTCTGAAGAGGTCCCTGACATCAGATTTTCCCAGTGCAGTTTGTCTTATGATTTCCTGGTTTCTTGTGCTAAGAGGGGAGCCAAACAAACTGAAGCTGTTAACAATCTCAATCTCTTTGCTGTTTATCATGATGCTGCCAGTTGGCCCAGTGGTGAGAATCTTTATTGTCTTAATGTAGAGCTTCAATCCATGCTGAAGATGCAGTCCTTGATCTTCTGCAGAAAATGTCTCAGGTCCTTGTCAGTTTTGGCAAGCAAGGTTGTGCCATCCCAAAAAAAAAAAAAAAAGAAAGAAAAAGGTTATTGATAAATCTTCCTCCAATCCTGATGCCTCATTCTTCCTTAAAAAGCTCAGCCCTCCCAAATGATCTGTACCACATAGAGATATAAAAGGTATGGAGATAGGACACATCCCCCTTTCCCCCCCCCTCATTTTGACTTATTCAGCGTTTCCTTGCTCTGCTCTGATGACTGTCTCTTGATCCAAGCATAGGTTTTCACATAAGCACACTAAAGTGTTCTGGGGTTCCCATTCTTCTGAGTTAACCACAGTTTGTTGTGATCCATACAGTCAAATGTCTTTGCATAACCAATGAAACGAGACCTTCCTCTGGTCTTCTCTGCTTCCAGCCAAGATCCATCTAACATTAGCTATAATATATTACTAGTGCCATGGCCTCTTCTAAATCCAGCTTACACACCTGGCACTTCTCTGTTGTAGTGCTGTTCCAGTAATTTTTGGATAATTTCAGCAGGATCTTGCTTGCATTTTTTGTTAATAAACAAATACAGTACTACATAATCACATATAAGTTAAAAATGTGGCAGCATTAAGCCTAATTTATGGGCTGTTACCGTGATCAAATGAGACCATGCAAAGCACAGCTGTGTTCAGCATAGTAGTACACAGTACACAGTAGACTGAGCTACTCTGATAATAGTATGAAACATGGAATAACATTTTCATACTCTGCTGAATCAGATTCATTCATCAAATACTTCTTTGCTATCTACTACATGTCTGGTAGCAGGGCATATTTTTTCCCCTGAATAATCAATTTTGAGTTCCAAGACCATTTGCGTAGGAGTCATTTGGTAATTTGGGTTAGATGGAATGAATGATGCCTACTGAGTTATAAGTATTTGTTTATGTAATATTTCAAAATATCAAGGGTACTATGAAAAGCAATACATTTGTTTTCAGGACAAGTATTCCAATTTTGCTGATTCCTTTTTTGTTCCTTTTTTCAGAATCTGGTTATCAAAGTGAAATAAGGTAAGCTTGAAATTACATCAATTTTTTAAAAATAAGCACATCAAACTGTGCACATGGCCCCCCCCCCATACATACACAGTATTTCCCAGGGAAATGCAATCTATAATTCCCTGGGACTTTGGATTGCAGTACAGCTTCTTATCTCTAGGCCTAGAGCTCCCTTCCCAAACATCAAGTACTGGAAATAGAAAAGACAAAAATGTATATATGTCAACCACAAATTCTTGGGACAACGCTAACTGGAATTATAAACCAGGTGACTTTTCACTGCCTGGCCTGACTTAAGCCTGTTGCTACAAGTGTCTTGTCAATCCATCTTGTCTTCATTCTTACAGACAGTGTTGCTATGAGTTGGAATTGATTTAAGGATACCTAGCAACATACATGACTTGCCCTCCTTTGGAAAATGTGTCTGATTAGCCCTGGTGTACAATGGCTGTGAGCTTGGCTGTTGCCAAAAGGTTGTCAGTCTCCCTCTGTGCATGAGAAAACTGTAGTAATTGGCTTCCATAAAGATTTATAATCTTGATAACCCTGTTGGACAGTTCTGTTCTGTCCTATCGAATCAAAACCAACTTCACATTAGAAGGCTTGGGTTTTGGATTTATCTAGCTACAATAGACTCAAGCACACCAGAGCCTGTCTGGGTGGCACAGAACAGGACAGTGTTTCATTCTATTATACACGGGGTCATTATGGATTGGAGCAGAGGGAGCTCCAGCGGTGTAATCTATGGGAGCTGCACTGCTAACCCAAAACAGCACCCGTCTGGTGGTTCAAATCCACTAGCAGCTCTGCAGGTGGAAAATGGCCAATCTCCTTCCCTGTGATTTACAGCCTCTGAAAAACCCACTGGACAGTCATTCCTGGCAATGTGTGAGACAGCACTTAACAGCAAGCATTTGCAACTCTTTCCACACGAGGGCACTGTCCACCGTGATCATTCTTTTGACTTTTAATCAAGGCTAGGAACTCAAGTACTATTTCTTTTTACATCATTCTGGTTTTTGGTTTGTTTGGTTTTTCCCCCCTCTCTCTTATTTATGCCTGTACCAGAAAAAAAAAAAAAACCACAAAGAAAACCAAACAACAAAACACATAAGTTTGGAAACTTCATCTGCATCTCCAGAATGTAAACTCGACTGGTGCTTCAAGTTGATGAATAAATGGAACACGTAGCCCAGTGTTCCACTCAGCAGATACACACACGCTTTGCCTTTTCAATTACTGCACTGCTGCCCTTTTCCCCACTTTCTATTTTGATTTGGGTGAAAGTTTACAGAACAAATTACTTTTCTAATCTCAAGTTCTGTTTCGTGGGTGTTAAAGGAACAGGGCAGAGATCCTGTTGGAATTTCTGGGGAAGTGGGAGAGAGGAACTAGCTGGATGGATGTCTAGAAATTTCAGGCTACAGCAGACTAACTGACATGTTGAGTGCAACTCATAGTGACTGTATGAACAGTGGATCTGAACCTTGTCGGATCCTGTGCCATCCTCAACATCTGTGACACACAGGAGCCCATTGCTGCAGTCACTGTGCAAATCCATCTTGTTGAGGGTCTTCCTCTCTTTCACTTACCCATCACCTTGCCAAGCATTATATCTTTTTCCAAGACTGGCCTCTCCTGACAATATGTTAAAAGTATGTGAGGCATCACCATCCTTGCCTGGAAGGAACACCTTGGCTTCACTTTTCTAAGACTTATTTGTTTCTTCTTTTGACAGTCTATGGGAGATTCAGCCCCTCCCCCAACACCACAATTCAAAGACAACAAGTCTTATCCTGTTTTCTTTGTTATTGTTCAGCTTTCAAATGTATAGCAAGTTATGAAAAAGACCAATGCTTGGATCAATTGTAACTTTCTCTTTAAACTGAAGTCATTGGTCTTTAACACCTTAGGACGGTCCTCAATAACAGATTTACCCAATGTAATACATCTTTTGCTTTCTTGACTGCTAATGTCAAGTGTGTTAATTGTGGATCTAATCACTGAGGAAGTCAGTGGTGACTTCAATCTTCTCTCCTATCATGGTATGGCCTATTGATCGAGTGGTGAAGATTTTTTTCTTGTTGATGTTGAGATAGCTTATGTTGAAGGCTATAATCTTCAATCTTCTGCAAGCATTTCAAGTCCTCTTTGCTTTTGGCAAGCAAGATGTGACATCTCCATAATGATGATTGTAGACAAGTCTTCCTCCCATCCTGATGCAACATTTTTCTTTATGAAGTCCAGTCTGTGGACTATGAGCTATCATCTCACCTCAGCAGCAATAGCAAAATTCAACAGGCCAGCAAACAACAAATGCTGGCAAGGTTTGTGGAGAGATTGGAACACTTATTCATTGCTGGTAAGAATGTAAAACTTTACAGCCACTGTTAAAGATGGTCTGATGCTCTTTCAAAAAAAATGGAAAGAGAAATACCATTTGACTCAGTAATTCTACTACTGGGGATGTATTTTAAAGAAACTAGATCCATGGCTCACACTGGCACACCATTGTTTATTGCTGCATTCAAACAAAAGGAAAGAGATAGAAGCAACTCAAGTGCCCATCAACAATTGAATGCATAGAAAAACTGTAGTGCAGTCACACAATGGAATGTTATGCAGCACTGAAAAACCATGAATTCATAAAACATTGCACAATATGGAGAAGCCTGGAGGACATTATGCTGAGTGAAATATCTCAGTCACAGAAGGACAAATAAATACTGCATAACACTGCTGTTATGAAGTGGGACAAATAGGGGGTGGAGGTGGGGACAGAATGGGAAAAGAGTGGCTAGGTAAGGAACACTGCATTAGATCAGATGAGAGGAAGAACTGTCCAAAATAAATATATGATTAGGCATTATACGTATGACAACAATCTGGAAAAAGAGGTGCATTGCGAGGAAGGCTGGGGGAGAAGGGTGTGTGGGGAAAATAAAATATACAACAAGGAAAAAAATTTTAAAAAAGAAAAATAAAGTAATACTTCATTCACCCCTTTCACATCTTTTATTTTTCTGTCTACTGGAATAAATTTTAGTTGAATGTTTTTTTAAAAAGCCAAAGGTCCAGTCTATTAGGTATTGTCATTACTTGGACAAATAAGCCAGGGACTGAGAAAATAAAAAATTCCTCTCTTGTCACCACTCACCAGAAGTAGCCTTTGGCATTTTTTTTGGTAACTAACTGGAAGAATCTATAGGATTTGCCATGCTAACCCAAAGGCTAACTTTATTCTGACAGACTGAACCCACCAGTGGCTCTTCAGGACAGAAATGGACACTCATCTCAGACAACCTCATCTTAGACACATGCGGTTGTCATGAATTTTAAACCAACTCAATGGCAACATTGGCTGGTGTTTTTTTTTTTTTTTTCTTTAAAAAAGGAATTTCTTTTAAAATTGTTGAGTTGTTTAATTGGGTTGTTACAAATGAATGTTCTTCTTTTAAATTTTTATTTGACACTGGTTTGCTTACAAAGTTTGTATACATTGTGTTTCATATTATTCTTCATTCACATTGTGCTCAATTCAATCATGAATGGACATTCTTTAGAATAAATCTTTTTACATATTCTTGATTTTCTACCTAAAATAAATCCTTAGAGTTTGAGTATGAATATCTTTACTACTTGGTTTTATCCATTGCCAAACTTCCTTTCCTAGGAAGCTGAATTATTTTCCCCCTTTATTTCAAGGATTTGCACAGTTTTTCCTATGAAGGGCCAATAGTAAATGTTTATTGTTGTTGTTTTACTAACCACATTGTCTCCTTCTGCAAAGATTTACAACCTCAAAAATCTGGTGAGACACTGTGTCCTGGAAGGTCATTAGGAGACAGAATCAACTCAATGCTAGTAGACTTGAGTTTTGGTATTGTCTTTCTCGCAACAACTCAAAACTGCTATTGGAACATGAAAGTTGCCATAGCCATTATAAAAGAGAAAATATGAGTATGTTCAATAAAAGGTTGTTGTAAAATCACTTGGTGGGCTGGATTTGACCTCTGGGTCATAATTGGCTGACCACTTCTTTACTTGGTCACTAGAGCCCATGGGTGTAAAGAAAATAAAGTTAATTTTCTTCCAATTATGGGAGGGTGATGTCTGGGAAATCCCATTCTGATCCTCATCAATTCTGAGAAGCCAATGGCCAGACTTGTGGACTGTCATAAATCCATGTCAGGATGCTCCAAGCATAACA